TGTTTCCAGTATGCCCTTCTGACTGGTTAGGAATGTTTTCCAATTTTATAGAGGGTTTCATCTCATATTTCTTTGCATCGTGTTATATATTATTTTGACCTATATGCATTATTCTCATTGCACATTGAGGACAATGTACAGTTTAAGTTTGGGGGTAAGGTCATCATGATTTATTCTATTTTAAGTTGAGCTTTAAATGTATGATGAGATTTGAGATGTGTTTGGCAATAATTTCAAACTTTTGAAGTATAGTTCATTTGAAAAGCAAGTTGTTAGGGTCTAATACTTCTTGTATGCTCTAGGATGCCATTTAGGGGTAAATTTTTAATTTTTGATATCATGTTTGCTCTTATGGTACACATCATCTTGTTGGTTGAAAATGCATTGAGAGTTGATTCTAGATTTCTACACTTGCACTTGTGCACACTAGCATTCAATTTGTGGGGTACATGCTTAGTTGATTATTGTCTTGGTTTATCCCAATTGAGCTAGTATGCTTTGAAAGCTTTCATTCTTGATAAAATGACCTTGCAAAAAAAAAAAATAAAAATAAAAGCACTCACCAAAAGTGAGGAATAAAAAAAAAAAAAAAAAAAAACTGCATTCTTTCAACATGTCAACTGATTAAAAAGAAAGACAAGGGAAGAATGTAAGATGTATGATTAGTTTGAGTTCGTAGCCTAGCCATTCCGAGTCATTACGCCCTTTGGAGTGTCTTTACACTTAACGCCCTAAAACCATCTAGTTTGGGAGTCGTTGGCTCAACGCTTGTTACATGGGGTGATTAGAGAGCTTAAGGAACTTGGACATTGCACATGGTCATACATAAAAATAAAAATAAAAAAAAAAAATGAAATCAATAAAAAAAAAAAAAAAATGTTTGATTAAATAACAAGGTTCATTCAATGTCTTGATGTCTGGTACTATATCTGCATGCTAGTTTGAAGGTAAGGCTATGCCATTACTTTGATTTGCTAGGATAGCAACACATTTTGATGCCGGTTCACTTAAAAGGATGATAGAATTGATTCAATTTGCATGATTAATTGATTGATGTGTGGAGGACCGTTTTTGCTTACATGATGTTGAAACGTTGATAATAGCTTAGAAATGGCAGAAATTTGCATACTTGAGGTAGTCTACTTTCAACACTTGTTTAATATGTGTCGTTATTTCTCAAGTAAGAAAAAGCTGTTGATGTTTGTGGGTACCATTTCTGTAAACCCTCACGAGACTTCACTCGTCCACTAGGGGTAACCTAGGGGTTTAAAAGGCTTGTTGCATATGCTAAATGCAACCGTGATCCCTACGAAAGTGGTGTTATCTTTATTTGTTTTATTAGTTCATAGTTGTATATATGTTTATTTCATTTCCATGCTGTAGTTCATTACTAGGGACTAGCAATATCTAAGTTTGGGGGCGTGACAAGTGCTTAAATGTTGCACATTTCAGCACCTAAGTTAGGATATTTCAGTCTTTGTATCTATCTTAATTTCATGTTTTAGTCCTAATTTATGTTTATGTGTATTTCAGGGCAATAAAGTTAAACTGAGCTAAGAACGGTCCATTAAAGCCTTTTTAGAGTCAAGCAAACATATTCAGAAAAAGCTCAAAAAATGGCAAAAAGGAGGTCGCAACCCATTGCTCGTATAGTGTGTTTATTCTTCAAAAACGGTCAATCTCAGGCTTTTGATGATGTTCCCAAAGATGAAGAAGCAAACTAATGAGCTCGGGGCTAAAATGAAGCTAAATAGGGCTTAAAGGAAATTTTCAACTCTGAGGGGATCGATCCCCAGGGTGGGGGATCGATCTCCCAGGACTTAGCAACATTACAGTTTTTATTTAATTTTTGGGCTCATTTTGGGAACTGTTGGGCTCTAATGAGATTGTTACTTAAGGCCCAGTGAACCATTAGATTATGGTTAGTTTTAGTTTTTATTTAGGAAAAGATTATTAGAGAAATTAAATTAAGTTTTATTTTTTTATTTTATTTTTCTGTATCGTAGTATCGTATTTTCTCTCTGGAAAAACACGCGAAAAAAGAGAAAAAGCAAGAACAGGCTAGGGTTTGGAAGAAAAGTTCAGAGAAGATGAAGCAGATGATGGGGATTGTCCTATCTTCGACTCCATCAACCATGAGTGGCTGATTATTCTACTTAGGGTTGGATAAACCCTAAGCATGTAACCTATTCTCTCTCTCTTTTCATACTTTTTGTGGATTAATTTATGTAATTAGTGTATAGTCTTGAATATTATGAATTAAATTCTTCCAATTGATTATCTGTATTAATCTCATATTGTCTTATGTATGGTTGATTGATAAACAAATTTTACACATGAATTCTTTGTTAATTGATTCTTGTGATGGCTATGCATGGTATTGCTTAGTTGTAATTGTGTTTCAAATTGATGAAAAATGCTTCTATTTGATGGATGGTACTACGTGTTTAGGTTAATTTGTTGTCTAATTAGTTTTAAATTCATGTTTAATTAGTTTAATTTAAGTTTAATTAATTTAATTGCAATTCAATTATTAGATAAGTAGACCATCCATACTTATGTTTGAATTCCATACTTTTTGTCACAATTGCATTATCTTCTAGATTAATGTGTGTTAAATTTGTAACTTGGATTGATAAATCATGCTTTGAATGGGTGAATTGCACTACACTTAGTTTAATTGTCATTAGGTAGTTGATTCATGCTTGAAATTAATGGTTTACACTTTTCATTGCACTTGTTAGCCACATATAGATTACATAGTATTATTTCCCCAATTAGTTGAAAGTGAGTGAGTTAGGGAATGTGCTTAGTGGTGAATCCTACACCCTAAGTCTCTTTCCAATCTCTTAAACTCTATTTCTTTATTGCAATCATTTAGTTTAAAATTAGTTTTAATCACAAACAAAACCCTTTTGGCAATCACATAAGCACTAAAGTAGAATTCAATTCTGGAAAACCTATAATTGTTTAGATCTTTTGGGACGATCCCTGCTCACTTCATACTCCATAGTATAAGTGTTTAGTGGTTTTATAAATTTTAAAATATGGTGCCCACTTGACATTATTTCCAAACCTAAAGTGTTGTGCATTATTTTGTGCACACGCTCGGTCGCACCATACCGTCCCATACCGATACATACAATCCTCCAATTTACACGATTGACCAAATAATGATAATTGTAAATCAACTATACTCCAGAATAAACACACATACAAATCTAATAAGTGTATGATGAAATTATATATCCAGTATATGATCTAGAAGTCACATTCTAGTCCTTTAAAATGTTAGAGTAAAATACAGCATCTAACTCCTCTAAAACAGTACCATAACTTGATGCAATAAATAGTATAGTTAAACATCAATTAATTTCCATTTAAGCATACCTATTTTTTTTCTAGAACATATAATATATGCTTATACAACAGTTGAAACATGAATACAGTTTAGAATTATGCTAGAAACCAAAGTGCTTATAGAACAGTAAGCAATGTCAAGGTATAATTCAACCTCCCACATGCAGTGTATTATTGTAGGTTATCCCATGCTTCAATATTAATACTAACATGCTTCCCAATTCTTTTAATATCTCTGGAACAGTTTTATAAACCATCCACAGCCCCTAGAATAACTCAGAAACCCTCTTACAGACCATCTGTAAGTCATAAACGTGAAAAAAAAAAAAAAAAAAAGAGGAGCTGCCTCCACCAAAAGTGGAGCCGCCTCTCCCCTTGGTGGAGCCAGCTCCACCCTTTATTGGAGTCGGCTCTACCCTTGTGCAGCCGGCTCCACCCCCTTGTGGAGCCGTCTCTCCTCCGTTGAGAGCCGTATCCCCTATTCTGTGCATCTTCTTCGCCTCCGACGAAGTGCAGAAACTCTGTACAATTTTTATAGCCTATTTAGGAGTTCAATTGCAGTCCTAGAATCCATTAAAATCATGCATTCAACTCCAAATACATAAGGTTAAGCAAAATTAAAACTCACGCAAACAGTTTATTTTTAAACAGAGTAACATCCTACACACAACAGAATTATGCAATGATTTAACAGTCGATTCAACATGCTTCCAAGATTAATATTACTTCAACTTAATCTGTTTTAGTGCTAAATTAATTCCTGGAGTCCATTAGGCATGCACAGAACACGAATTAAAGGGAAATAATAAAATAGTGACTTGCCTTTGAGTTTCAGATTTGAAACTCTAAACTGCTGTCTCTTGAATTTTCTGACGAGATTTCCGACTGTAGTTCCACCTTCGTTACTCTAGGTTTAGTCTCAGTTGAAACCCACAATCCTAGCTTCCTTCCTCTCTGTAATTCCCTCAAGTTATCCTCTCTGCTTCTCCCAAAACCACAACTGTTGCTCTCTGTATGTTCTCTACGTGTATGGGTTTTATTTTTAAAACCCTAGGTAGAACTCGTACATGTATTTATAGGTGTTTGTAATACACAACCCTAATTCTAGTTGCAATACAAGAAGGAAACCTACATATACCAAGTCGGCTACCATGAAACCTAAAACCCTAATCCTAATTCTCGCATTTAACTAATTAAATCAATTACAAATAACTCAATTAAAATAACCATAATTAAATAAAACAAGTATAAAATTAAATACCAAATAAACAAATAACAATTACACATTTAATCAAATATCAATTAAATCAATTTAAAACAAAATAACCCTATTTAATTTAAAATAATTTACAATTAAGCAAATAATTAAAAATTAAATAAAATACATGCAATTTAAGCAACACAACAAACAAGGAAACAATTAATCAAATAAAAAGATAATTAAATAAAAAATAAAATACCAAAAATATCCTTTTAAAATTAGGGTATTACACGTACCAACTCCTAACTTGCAGCCCAAAATAGCAGGTCAACCACCACTACATTTAAAGCCAACCAACCAAGTCTCAACTACAGACAAAATAGCAACTGCACCTATCGTGACACATGCTACTACTTTACCTTTCCCACATGCCAACAAGTCACCTCTCCCCAATAAGCATCAAAAAGCAAAATCTTGGTCCAGTGTTGTTGAACATGGAACTAACAAAATGAAATTTGTTTATATGCCCCCCTCATCTGCTAATTCCAATTTTATCGAACCACCTAAAGAAGTTGTTGATGAAGGTTTAAACTTCTGGTCCTTTTTCCACTTGGTTGGTTTCTCCACCCACAAGAGATTGCCATTCAAGGTAATTCAGAGTACTCACTACAACAAGTATCATTTTTACTGGCAGTTTATTTACGTATGCCGCTATTAATTAATTATTTCTGGCGGTTTATTAATTAATTATTTCTGGCGGTTTCTTTTAAACCGCCGTTATTTGTATTTATACCGGCGGTATATTAAAAAGTGCCGAAAAATATGAATTATTTCCAGTAGTCTTTTTAAAAGAGCCGGAAAATAGGATTTATTTCGGGCAATTTTGTAAAAACGCCGGAAAATAGAATTTATTTCCGGCAGTCGCCGTTAATATTTTAATTGTTATTATTTTATTTATTATTATTTTTTCCTCAAATAGCACGTTTTGGGTTTGGGTGTAGGTTTCATATCACGATTCTTTTCTTCTCTCTCACCCACGACATCAGGGCTTGGTGGTGTGCGTGGTGTGGCTCAGGGAAGAGCACGGTGACTATGGTCGATTGGTGGTGCGGGTGGTGCGTTGGTGGTTGATTGGTGGTACATCGGAGGTTTGGACAGTGGTGGTTAAAGGGTTGGGCTCTTGTAAGTTGTAAGTATTTTAAACCCTAATTTCCCCTTCTTGTTCTTGAGATAAAAATTCGCACCAAATTAGACAAAGCTTCCTTGCCTTTTTGCTCCTTGGTTTGCCGCGTAGATCTATATTTCTATATTTCATTCCTTTTTTCTTTGACTACTAATATATGCTATATCTGCAGTCATTCTGATTGGGGATAGTTTTTAATTAAAAAATTATTTTTTTCAGACCTCCACAATAGCAAATACCATTTAGGAAGTTCATCAAACTTGTAACCTATTAGAAAATACGATTTTGAAGGTTTATAAAATTTGTAACATGTTCTTTGAATTTGATATTTAAATCTCCTTTTACTTGCACCACAATTGTACTCATCCTTAATATTTAGACTGCACTATTGGGGTTCTCCGGTTTTTATATGGTAATGGCCCCATCCACTTTTATATAAAATTTATCCTCTGCTGCAACCACACTGGGCACTATATGATTCTGCTACATTCTTCTCAATCAATTTGTACCAACATTTTGTGTTGGAGGCTACTTTTATACTAATATGTCTTTGATGAGTAGAAAATAAACATGTAACTCTACTTCATTTTCTTTGTCCTTGCTATCATCATCTATATTTTGCAATAAGCCACCTGTAGCTGCCACTTTTAAACACAATCATTACAAGTTTAGCTATCATTTTTTTTTTTTTAATGTGTTTTTGTTAGACTTGCTAAGATATTAGCATGCATAAAGTACATGTTTTAATTTAATTTCTATTTTTGAGTTAGACAAGTATTTTTATATTCTGTGTCTAGGAATCCTAAATTTGAATATGGTAAATCTAAGACTTGTTTTTTTGGTTCATTTTGAAATCTATACCGAAACCAATGCATTATATCCAAAGAACATATTGTTACCTTATCTGGTTAGTATTTGAAATATGACTCCTATTTGTGCATTTCTAGTTTGTCTGTTCAATATGGACTACCTTGTTGATTGAAACAGTGTTTTAGAAGAAGGGAGACATTTCTTCTATAATTTCAATATTATCCAGATATACTGTTGGAAACCTTTTGTGCTTCTCTTTGACATCAACATAAAAGTTTATTTTTGTTTACAGTTCTCTCTAATTTTATATCTCAACCATCTCTGTTATAATTGTAGAATTGGCCTTTGCCTTTTGGTGAGTAGTTGTTTTATTATCATTAGAAAAGTACTACAACCACTTTGTTTTTAGTCTGATGAGGCTTCCACAGTTTTCTATTGGTGGGTGCATGGGTGCTTTTTGCTGTATTTCCTATGGGAATAGGTTTTTTCATTGTATTGTTGGACCTTTTTGAAAGGATATGTCCTCTATTTTTAACAATGTACTGATGTTATATTTGGAAGCATTGAATCGGTGCCATCCATTTGAAATTGCAAGAATTTTAATTAAAATTTTGTATTTTTTTTTTCAGTCTACCGAACATAGCATAATTGTTTTATCTCTTGACTTATAATGTACACACATTCATGCATTTTTCATTTATTAATATCTTGAATATGAAATGCTTGACTTTTGTTGGCTCAAATAGATTCTGAAAGTTGTAATTATTAGTGTTCAACAAAGTAATGTAATTATTGGTTTTCCCAGCATCATATAATTGTCAAATTACTTTGACCTTGAAAAAATCTTGTGGAACATGTTCCAATTTATTATTTAAAAATACATGTACAATTTTTATATTAATTGCTTGGTACCTATCATACATGAGAATGCAACTTTGTGTAGATAATGCTAAGGTTAGGTGTAATGGGCTGTCCACTTGCCGTCAGATCCAAAAGATATAAAAATAAAAAAGATATAAAAACCTATATCATGCAGAATTGTAGCCATTAGAAAAAAATCTGATTTAAGAGTTGAAATTCATTCTCTTCTAAATTTTTTACATATCATTCATGATATGATAAAAACCTATATCATTCGTGATATGGTAAAAACCTAAGTAGATAGAAGTAGTTTAATGATTAAAGAACTATGAAATGCAGTAATTCAAAGAAGTTAACTGAGAAAGTTTTGAGATTCATCTGTTCTTTGTTTCACTAGGTTACATAATCTTTCATAATGGATAGAAGTTAGATTACGGACTCAAGGTACTTTAAATTTTAGTCTTGTTAGTTTAAATATATTCTCATTTTAGTTTATATATTTACGATAAATTCATTTTGACTTTATCTTTCTTACTATACAAATAGGATAAGTACTACATACTCGAATGGAGTTGAACAATTTCTAGATACAGCATTTGAGCGAGTTGGGCAGAGTGGACGCATATATTGTCCGTGTACCAAGTGTGGGAATTGTATCAAGAAAACAAGGCAAGAAGTTTTGCATGACTTGATGTGGAATGGGTTGCACGTGTAGAAATGAAGGAGACAGTGGAAAAGATACGTGCTGAGTATGATGAAAAATATGATGGTTTGAATCCAAAAATGGCAATGATTTTGCATCATATTGAACATCAAAATTCTAATGTACAGGTAAATAATTTTTGTTATTGTGCCTTGTAAACATTTAACTATATAAATATTATAAGTCCTAATATATTTATAATTATATTCTATTATGAAGGTGCATAATAAAATTATATTTTATTGTGAAGGTACCTGGCTCCTCAACTGCACTTGGTGATCTTTAAATTTTATTTTTGGTCGTGAAATTTCATCCTTGGTGAGCACTATAGATTTTAATTATCATGTTATTTTAACCATCCATTTAATTGTCTTAATTATTATTCTTTGTTTAATGGCTTTTATTTAAAATGTATGTAGGGCAATTTGAAGCAAGACGATAAATGAAGTTGAACCATTAATTCTCAAGACCCTCGCATAGTCTCACTCAAATTATCAATGAAATGTTGATGTTTTATTTTGAATGATTTCCTTTAGAAGCTTTATTAGATTTTGGTGTTTCCTTTTGAATCTTTTATTAGCACTTGACATTTTAAAACAAAACGTATATGTTATGGGATGTTATTGAATTTTAATGCAACTTTGTTTTATGTTATATATCAAATTTAAGTTGCTGGATGTGTTGTGATTGGTAAATTATATTTGATGTCATTGAAAATGGAACAAAATAAAATATTTGCTAATATGTAAATTAAATAAAAAAAATAACACATTACCGGCGGTTTAAAACGCCCCCAAAACTAATTTTTTTTTTACATTACTGGCGTTTTAAAGTGCCGGACTATATGAATACACCGGTGGTTTCAAATGCCCCTAAAAGTTAAAAAATTGTACATTACTGGCACTTCAAAGTGCCGGAGTATACAGTTAAAATGACAGTTTACATATAATACACCGGCGGATAAAACCGCTGCTGCTTAAACTTTCACCGGCGGTTTCATGCATCTGCCGATAATGATTTCAAACCCGGCGCTTACTTAAAAACTGTCGGTGAAACCTAGCGGCGGTGACTATACCGGCGGTTTGGTAAAACCGCCGGTAAAGGTATTACCGACGTTTTTGGAACCTTACAGCGGCGTTTTAGACCGCCGTTGAAACCCTTATTTGTTGTAGTGACTGCAACCAAACTATGGAAATCATTTGGTCTAACTCATACCATCATTGGTGAGAATAACTCTTACATCTTCAGATTCAACTCCTCCTCAGAAGTGGATAGAGTTCTCTCTTATGGCCCTTGGTCAATAGCTGGGCATCCCTTCTCACTAAGGAAATAGAACCAGAATAACCAATCTCAGCCTGTTCAGTTGGGTTGTTTGCCTATTTGGACTAAGTTCTACAATGAGCCTCACAACTACTAGACTGCAAAGGGTCTTAACCACATTGCAAGTGCTGTAGGTGAGCCATTATATGCTGATGAAGCCACAGAAATGATAACCAAGTTGAAATATGCAAGAATCTGCATCAACATTGACTTGAGCAAACCTCTCAAGCACAATGTTCAGCTCAAAATGGATGATATGTCCTTTGCAGATATCAGAATCAAGTACCAATGGCTACCTAAAATATGTAACAAGTGCAATATCCTCAACCACTCAGAAGCCAATTGTCCCCTCAAGTTCATCAACACAACTCATGGCAAAACAACTGCAATCACTCATGATAGCACTACTCCCCCAACTTTCCCAATAACTGAAGGCTCTCCTCACAAAGATCACAGCCCTGCAGTCCAACCTACTACTGCATGGGTCACAGTTAGAAAGAAAAAGAACAAGAACACCTCAAATGCCATTAATCCATATCCACTCATTGCCAAACCCTCAACTGCTAACCATTTCTCCATATTGCAACATCAACCTCTTGACCCCAATAACCTTGACTCCCCTTCAACTCATCATACTCCCTCCCCAAACACCTTAGATAACACAGTAGACAGCAATTCCATCACTGATTCAGAATCCTCAACAGCATCATCCACACCTCATTCTCCCTTTTGTAGCAGGAAGCTCAACTTCTCCTCTCCTATAGCTACCCCATCCCCCCCTCATAATAAATACAAATCATCTATGCCAACTCCTTATTGCAAACCTTCTTCCACCCATAAAACTTTTGGTACGCCAAACACAATTCCCCAGCACAAAAATCAAAAGAAATTCAAACCTGATCACAGGGAATGCAATCCTTCCAAGTCCACTGCTGTGGCTCATACCTTTACTATCACTCCAATCCACTCCTCAGTGTTTGCTCAGGCCAACAAATCCATCTCTTCCTCAATAAGTGATCCAGGTAGCTGCAACAACAAAGCACAAAATGGAAGATTAACTGCAAGAAGTTTCAGGAAAGTGACAAGAATGAAAGCGCACATCAATTCAGGGTTGATGCATGAGGGTTCTTCAGTAAACCCAAGGCATCTTGGAGGTCACCTCACTCCACTCTTCTCATGATTTCTTTTTTAACATAGAATATTAGAGGGTTAAATTAACCCTCTAAACAATCAGAAATTAAAAAATTAATTTCTGATAGAAAATTGGATCTGGTCTTAATAGTAGAAACCAAAGTGGCTTTTTCTAATGTGGTAGCTATTCACAAGAATATTGCTCCACACTGGTCTATTTCTCACAATTATCCTTTTTCAGACTTAGGTCGAATTTGGATAGTTTGGAACCCAAGAATTCTTGACTTGTCAGTTTTACATTGTAGCAGACAAGAAATACATTGCTCAATATCTCTGACTGGTTTAAATCTCTCATTTTTCACTTCTTTCATCCATGCTTCCAATTGTGCAATTGAAAGACATGATCTCTGGAATGATATTATTCACCACTCAACTTTTTTTGCTTCCAATCCCTGGCTAGTGTTGGGGGATTTTAATGTAATTCCCAACATAGGTGAAAAGTTTGGTGGCTCAATGAAAAGAAGCTCTGCAATGTCTGATTTTAAGGACTGCCTCCAAAAAGCTGGATTCGAGGAACTCAAGTTCTGTGGGATCTTATATTCTTGGTCAAATAAAAGTATAGGAGATGCTTATATTGCCAAGAAGATGGATAGGGCCTTGATCAACCAAAGCTGGACCATCTCTTTCACTGTGTCTAAATGTAACTTCCTCATCCCAGGCATCTTAAACCATAGTCTTATCCTGGTCATACTTGACATCAATAAACCCCAAAGGCACATCCCATTCAGGTTCTTTAATGCTTGGGCCTCACACAAGCTTTTCTTACCATCAGTTCAAAGGGTCTGGAGCTCTCACATAAGGGGAACTGCAATATTTCAGGTGGTTCAGAAGCTCAAACAACTGAAACCAGTTCTAAGGTTCACTTGTGGGAAAGAACTATCTGATTTGGATTCCAAAATCCATGTTATTCAAATTGACTTACAGTCTTGTCAACTGGATCTTGACCTCTCTCCTAGTAATCCCACTCTCAGAGAATTGGAAAGAGCCCTCACCACTGAATTTCTAAGACTGGGATCAATCCAAGAAGATATATTGAGGCAGAAATCCAGAATGGTCTGGCTTAAATTGGGTGATTGTAACTCATCCTACTTTCATAAGTCATTTTCTTCAAGGAACAACAGAAAGAAGATTATCTCATTGTCACTTGACGATGGACAAGTTATTCAGGATCCTAAAGTCATTAAAATTCAAGTGGTCAACCACTTTCAAGCCTTGCTTGGTCAATCCCCAGCACCAACACACTACATCTCTGATCTAGTTCCTTTCATCACAAAGGTTGTCCCACCAAGCTTTTACCCTTTCCTTGAAGACATTCCAAGCAATATGGAAATCCAATGCTGCATGCTGAATCTAAACAAGGACAGAGCCCCAGGTCCAGATGGCTACAATGCTTCATTTTTCAAAAGTTCTTGGAACATTGTTGGAAGGTCTATTACTAAAACAATTTCAGAGTTATTTAGAAATGGGAAGCTCCTAGCTGAGGTCAACAACACTTACATAGCCCTGGTTCCTAAATGTCAAAATCCAGCCTCTCTTTATGACTACAGGCCTATCTCCTGTGTGAATACTATCTACAAGTGTATCTCAAAACTCCTTGCAACTAGGCTGCAATCCACTCTACCTGCATTCATTGATCAAGCCCAATATGCATTTGTCCATGGCAGGAAGATCACAGACCCTATTCTCCTAGCCCACGAGTTGCTTAGGGGTTACCATAAGCATGGTACTCCTGTAAGATGTGCTTTCAAAGTGGACCTTAAGAAGGCCTTTGATTTTACCAAGTGGGACTTCATAATCAGTTGCCTTACACTGCACAACTTCCCACCAAAGTTTATTGAACTGATTAAAGCTTGTCTCTCATTACCATCCCTTACCATTGCCTTGAATGGTGAGTTCCAAGGTTATTTCAAAAGCAAAATGGGCCTTAGACAAGGAGATCCCATCTCTCCTTTCCTCTTTGTTATAGTTATGGATGCATTTTCCTCCATTGTCTCCAATTATGTGAATAGGGTCTCATCCTTTAAATATCACTGGAGGTGCAAGGAGCAAAGAATCACTCACTTATCCTATGCTGATGACTTACTTCTATTTTGTCATGGTGATATTTGCTCAATTTCAGTCCTGAAGTCAGCTCTGGATCTTTTCAGTTCAATATCTGGCCTACAGATCAACCTATCTAAAAGTGCAGTGTACTTCTCAGGTATCAATGACCACACTCAGAATGAAATCTCCACTCTTCTTGGCATCCAAGTAGCTACTCTACTAGTGAGATACTTAGGTGTGCCTCTCATATCCACCAACCTCAAAGCTGAGCATTGCAGCCCACTGGTTAGTAAAATCACTCACAGAGTCTCTAGTTGGACATCAAGACCACTCTCCTATGCAGGTAGATTGCAATTAATCAAATCAGTCCTTGTCTCTACTCAAAACTATTGGTGCAACATCTTCATCCTCCCTAAAGGGGTCATAGATGAATTGAACAAAATTTTCAGAAGATTTCTTAGGTCTGGTCCAGAGCTGAAAGCTACAGGCTCAAAGGTTGCTTGGGATAAGGTGTGTTCCCCTAAACTTGCAGGGGGTCTAGGGATTCCTAATTTAGAAGCTGCTAACAGGACTGGTATTCTTAGGTTCATCTGGGACCTCCAAACTGACAATTCAAACAGGTTGTGGGTTAAATGGTGTCACTCACACCTTCTTAAATCCAGGAATCTATGGACTCTTAATTATCCTCAACTATGCTCTTGGAGTTGGAGGAAGATGCTCCAGTTAAGGCACACAGCTAGATCCCTCATTAAACATTCAATTGGCAATGGGGCAGACACATCTTTCTGGTGGGATAATTGGGCTCCAGGGGCCCCCCTCTGCACAAGGTTTCCAATCTCTATACTGACTGAAGGTGGTTTTTAAGAAGGAGTTACTCTCGACAATTTCATTCAAAACAATAATTGGTCTTTTCCCATGAGCCTCACTAATTCTATCCCTGAATTATCTAACCTACCTGCCCCAGCTCCTTCTACAAGGGACTCCAAGAAGTGGATAGCCTCTCCCAATGGTTCTTACTCATTCAGTCACACTGTCTCTCATTTGAGGGGGGATCTTCCTACTGTTTCATGGTATAATCTAGTTTGGAATTCTCCCTCCATTCCTAGAATGAAGTTCATTTTTTGGTTAGCAGTTAAGTCCAAATTGCCAACTTATGATAGCAAGTCAATGTCCAAGCACATTAATATCTGCCCACTATGCAGTGCATCTACAAAGTCTTATGATCATATTTTCCTAAATTGCTCCTTTGTCACCCCATTGTGGCGTTTTATCAAATACAAGTGCAGCATTTCTACAGCCTTAAGAAGTTGGGAAGCTCTTGTTCAGTGGGCAAGTATTAAATGGAAAGCTAAGAACTTAGTTAATCTTTACAGGAAATTGGGGCTTTCAGCTTTTGTGTACCATACCTGGGAGGAGAGGAATGCCAGGATTTTCAGCGGAAAGAAGGCATCTCCGAGAGTTGTATGTGCCAAGGTCTGCTCCACCGTTTCTGTGATTTTGAAATTGGGATGCCTCCCAGACTGTGCCTCATCTAGAGCCATTCTCAAGTATAGGAACATTTCTCCGTCCTATTGCAGACCTCCGCCGCGGTCGCCAGATTAAGATCTCGGTGGCATAGCTGCTTCTCCTTGCTACTGACCAGAAGTTTTTCTTGTTAATGGCAGTTGCCGTTATTGGCAGTTTCCATTTGGTTTCAATGTTTTCATTGCTGGGCCTGCCCTTTGGGCTTGTTTTTCTCTCCTTTGGGCCAATGGTCCTTTGTAAATCCATCATTTAATTAATAAAAATAGCTTTAATTTTCGGGAAAAAAAAATGATGATCATATTGAATTATCAAATAAAGTGAGCCCTTATTTTTATTTAGCTAAAACAAAATTCAAACTTTGAATATGACACAGATTCACTTTCTTGTTTGGTTTTGACTTTTGAGTTGGAAGAATTTTTTTTTTTTTTTGGGTAAATTATTTTTTTCTAAATTTATTTCAAAAGGAAGCTAGCTTAAACTCTCACTTTTATGTTCTTAAATCAACCCAAGACCTTCATTGATTTATAAATTAAAGTAGCAACCGACTCTGCTAAAGCATCCATGCTTACTTGACTTGAGTTCATAAGCTGCCAACATCACATAAAGACGAAAAAGACAAGAGAGCCCAACCTCTATCAAAGGAACAGATAAAATGACTATCTAATTGATGATGCAGAGTTCATAAACAATGCTAAAGGAGAGATACGTGTGCACATAGAGCACAGTGTTCTTCTATAGCTTTTGGTTAATGGAAAAAACCATCATACCTATGGTATGGATATCATTACCTCTGAGCCCCTCAGAGAGAAAAACAAAACCTAGACCTGACTTTATATAAGCAGAGCAAAGTTCAGTGGTGTATTGTGATGTTGCCACATACGCGATTTTGCATGCCCGTTCCTAATGCCGTGAAGCCACGCATAACTGTGCCCATACCCACACCATCCTCGTCATCCTTCTCCCCCCTCCTATTTCTCTCTCTAAACGCATACTCTCTCTCTAAACCGCCCTATTTAACTCACCCTTTCCTTGCTCCCCTATCATTCAACAGCACTCTCAAGCATACTGTTTTACACTCTCTCTCTCTATACATATATATATACACACACACATACATATTAGCTATTATGGGCAGTGTTTGTGCTGAGCAGCACAAGTTCCACCCCTCCCACCAACTCCTCCTCAACAAGAAAACCCTCCGTGAAATTGACATTCCGCCGCGAAAACTCCTCGACCGACGTGCCACCGCCGCTGCGATGTCGCCGGAAACCGTTGAGATGTTTCTCGATTCGCCGAAGGTCGACGAGACTCTCCTACACAAATTCTTGCCCTACAACGGCAGTGACGATGATGACGCCGACCCGTACTCGTCGGACCACTTCCGGATGTTCGAGTTCAAAGTTCGGCGATGCACTCGAAGCCGGAGCCATGACTGGACCGACTGTCCGTTCGCTCACCCAGGTGAGAAGGCTCGCCGGAGGGACCCCAGAAGGTACCACTACTCGGGCACCGTCTGCTCAGAATTTCGCCGCGGCAGTTGCAGCCGCGGCGAGAACTGCGAGTTCGCGCACGGGGTGTTCGAGTGTTGGTTACACCCGGCTCGATATCGAACCGAGGCATGTAAAGATGGCAAGAATTGCAAGCGTAAGGTTTGTTTCTTTGCTCATACGCCTCGTCAGCTTCGTATTTTGCCTTCGCATTGTCATGACAATTCTTCGCCGGTGAATTCTCCGGTGGCGGCGGTGGAGAGGAAGTACCGTAGTTCTAATCATTGTTGTGTCTTTTGTCACTCTGTCACTGCCTCTCCGACCTCTACTTTAATGGGTATGTCTCATTTGTCACCACCGATGTCGCCGTCGCTCTCCCCGCCAATGTCGCCGGCGAAAACCCGCTCGTCGAGGGGGTATTCGCCGATTTCTAGGTACGCGGATCGTCTGGCAGGTATTGATTCATGTGGGTTGAAATTGAATCAGTTTAATCATGGGGTTCTGAGTTACAAAGATGGTCTTACCGAGTTGATTAGCTCTTTGGACGCCATGAATATGAATCATGAAGCAGTTACTAACAATAGCACTGTGTCATGGGTCGATGGACAGACTCTGAATTGTGATGATCAACAGCAGCTTATTCGCTCTTCTTCGGACCCAAATCCATCTGGGTCTAGAGATTCTTTCAGTATTGGTGATTCTTCTTCTTCAAGTCGCAAAAGCTTCATTGATGACAATGGATCGGCTTGTCCTGATTTTGGGTGGGTCAATGACCTCCTTCAATAAGAAGGTTATTGAGCATGGTGTGATGTGATGATTGATGATGACGATAATGATGAAAGATTGGTGACTAGTATGAGAAGGATATATGTGTATATGGTCAGGAGACTTCTGTATCCATTTTTCTTTTGAAATTGTACTTTTTCGTTTAATAAGTCTGTTGAATTCGATCTAAGTGTGAGTTCTTTATATATAAATCAATGTATGAACCTTGTTCAGTTTCTGTTTCTTGTGTTTTGAGAGAGATTTGAGTTTTTGAGAGTTGTTTGATGTATTGATTTCAAATGTATAACATTGAACAGATGATGTTTGATTCTCTCTTTTGTAGAAATTGACAAAAAATTATCTGACCTCTTGAGCTGTGCTTTATTGGAATAATTTTATAAAGATGTTGCAGATCTCATGCAGTACAGTTGATCAACACGTGTTCTTTTAAAGTGGGAGTTAACAAGAATTTTAAAATCAAAATGCTTTAGAAGTGGGATATGATCAGGAAGAAAATAAAAATCAGATCTTATTAGGGAAAAAAAAAATAAAAAAATGGCCTTTAAAAATCAAAATCGTTTTTTTTTTTTCTTTCATCTAATTTTTATTTTCCATCTCGAGGTTTTATGGTTCTTATCTAATTTTATTGTCTTCACGTGTTTCGGTTCGGGTGGGGAAGAATTTTTATTTTTTATTTTGAAGTGAGAAAGGATTTTTTTTTTAATTAATAATTAAATCCCTTCACTGTAAGGCTGAGTGGATATAATATTTTTATCTATTTATTTATTTATTTGGTTCTACAGACGGGTTAAATTTTGGTTAATTTTAAATTGATTTCATGTGATAGAAGCCCTTCTTCAATATTTCTGAGTTTTTATAAAATTGAAATTATATATTATTACATAATATGAGCTGGTATGTCTAAGTTTTGGGCAGACACGTGGCGAACATGCTGGGTGGGTGGGGATCTCATCGCGGCGATCAGATGAAGATGAGTAGAAGGAGCTGCATGAATGTAAAAGCAACCCGGACAGATCGAGGACAGGATGTAGAGACAAACATATTCTTGTTGATTGATTCTAAGACTACTTCTAGACGCTACTCATCTAAACTTGCTGAACCGGCTTGATTGTCCTTGGTGCAGCCAAACTAGCTAATTAAAGCCCATCCCTAAATTAAAAGTCAACACACACTCAATTATATATGTAGTACACACACTTTTATCGCATGGGTCTGGTGTGTATGGACTCATTCTGAGCATGGGTTGGCTGCTCTACTTTATAGTTTATACTGTATTGGTAGCTAGGGCTTTGGGTGATTTGTACTGGATTTGATCTACATGCACGGTTGTCCTAAATTAAGAGTAGTGCAATGAAAAAGTGACATGCATGGGTAGTGTACAGAGATGCAAAATTAAGCACGGTAATAACAATAATATGGCATGATGTACCAATTTCTGAACGGTTGCATATATTTTGTATGCAATGTTTGGTGTTTCCTCGGAGCGGTACTTTTATCTGTTGGACAGCGAGGATGGTAGGGCATGGACCATAAGGGTGTGTTTGGAATGATCCTATCTTTCTATCTTTTTTAGCTGGTAGGGCTGGGTTAGGTGGATGATTGTCACAGATTCCACGAGGAATGGTGTGGGGGTGGGGGAGCAGCCCATGCTAGAGTGACCTTTGCTAGGGTAAACCTAGGGGTCCCCCACATGCCTTTGTAATGACTCACTGATCCATCCCTAACCCTCAACTCACTCGCAATTTCCATATTTGTTTTCAAAGTTGAATGATGTATATATTCATGATATCATGCATGGGAACAGGCCCATATTGCAATATCTGTGATTCACCTCACCTCACCTCAGGCATGACTTTTTTCTATACAGACCCCTTGTACATATGATTTTAATTTGTTGCAAGGACGTTAATGCTAGGATTAGTACGTACTTACTGTACTTTTTACGACAAGTTGCTTTAAATGAGGCTCATAATGAGTTTGTCAATTAATAATAATGGGAAAATTAATCACACATGCATTAGGGAGAGATGGGTGCTAAACACAGTCTTTAGCTCTTGACACGTATATTTTCTTTTCCGATAATTAAAAACTATTTATCTCTAACTTCCTTTTGGGATTCTCTTTATGTATAATTACTATACTAGTCTCTCACTCTTAGAAAGAAACTCAAAAATCATTCACGGTTTCATCCAGAATACAGAGACTATGAATCTGAAAAAATCAGATCGGAAGAGAATCGAAGTTGAAAGCTTGTTTTTTTTTATAGAGAGAAAAGGACGGATGCAAGAAAACCAGATTATACTTTTTTTTCGTCGGATTTCCGAATACTTCGAAACAGAGAATAGAGATTTGAAAAAATCATATTTGAATTTCAAACATTTAACTTCAAAAAAAGAAATTTTAGAAAGAGAACCAGATTATAGTACTTTTTTACCTGATTTTTTTTAATATATTTTTTAATCTGAAAAATCAGAGCAATACTTCAATACAAGAAAATTTTAGAGTTGAACTTCAAACATTTAGATATGGATTTTTGTAAAAAAGAAAATTTTAGAGTGAGATGGAATGAAGAGAGAATTTTCGCAAATGATTTCTCAGTTTCTTTTTAACGATAAAAGACTAGTATAGTAATTATACATAATGAGAGTCCCAAAAGGGAAGTTAACAGAAAAATAGTAATTTATTATCGGGAAAGAAAATATACGCATCAACATTTAAAGTTGCGAGTGATATTCCACAGTCGCAGTCGCGCCCGCGACTATGCCTAGCACTCCTCTTATGAAGATTACACTATGGTCTGTCTTATTTATTTATTTATTTTTTTCACTTATACATTCTGAGGTTTGCCTTATTGATGATGGTTAACCGTTTTTTGGACAATGACATCTTTTTAAGCTTTTTCATTTAAAAAATCAGTGAAATATCGATATTACCCTCCATTATTTAATTCATTAATTATAATAAAATATCATAAGTGCAAAATGACCAAAACACCCATCATAATTATTTTTTATTATTTAATTTATGGGTAAATTTCACTGATACCCGCTGAGGTTTGGGTTAATGCCACTCAGCGGACAGTCAATGCACTTGTTTATATTGACAACCCTGAAGTTTCAAATGCCACATTTGCCCTTTATTATTTAATTCAATTATATTCACAAAATATCAATAATGTTAATTTACGATAATACCCCCTTACCTAAACCAACTATACACTCAATCACAACCTGCATTATCTGGTTATCCTTCTCAACACCAACACAGCCCATCAACACCACCACCTCACCTACATCAGCCCTTCAACGTACACCACACCTCACCGACACCACCACTTTCAACACCACCACCTCACCTACATCAGCCATTCAACACCATCACCTCACCGACACCACCACCTCGCTTACATCAGCCGTTTCGCTCCCTGGTCCGAAGAGTGGTGGTGTTGAATGGCTGATGTAGGTGATGTTGAAGGTGGTGGTGTCGGTGAGATAAGGTGTGGTGTTGAAGGGCTGATGTAGGTGAGGTGTCGGTGTCGGTGAGGTAATGGTGTTGAAGGGATGTGTTGGTGTTGAGAGGAATAACCGGATAATGCAGGTTGTGACCGAGTGTATTATTAGTTTGGGTAATGGGGGGGTATTATCGTAAATTAACATTACTGATATTTTGTAAATATAATTGAATTAAATAATAAGGGGCAAATATGACATTTGAAACCTCAGGGGATGTCAATGTTAATGAGTGCATTGACCGTCCGCTGAGTGGCATTGACCCAAAACTCAGAAGGTGTCAGTGCAATTTATCCAAATTAAAAAAAGGTAAATAGATTTGTAATTACCATTTTTTTTAAATGATTAACTTATTATTAAAATTTTACTATTATTTCTAATAAAATTTATTATAATCAGTTTAAACTTTTTTTATCGTAGAAAATTATCTTCTTTTTCATACGATATACTAATGAAAAATTAATAAATTACTTAAATAAAAGTACATTTTTTTATGTAATATATTCATGAAAAACTAAAAAATTAATTAAATTTCTAATAATTTTTTTTTTCAAACAATTAATTTCAAAAATTAAAAATAAATTTATGCAAATTTGATGGATAATGTGTCATCAAATCAATATAATTTTTTTTTCATAATTTATTAAAATAAAAAAAATAAAATAAGTGTAATTCAATAAGAATAGATATTATAGTCATTTAATGAAATATAGTATAGGCCATGTTTTTTGCATTGTTTTTCGCCTTTGGGCCATTGCTTGGGTTTTCCCTTGCATGTATTTCTCATTCTTTTTAATATAGTAGTTGATTTACCGAATATATATATATTATATTATTAGAAGTAATAATATATATAATATATATATATATATAGATATATTTTCAAGGTAAAGAGTGTTAAATGTAAAATTAGTAGATGTAGAGGATTGAGCTTCACATGAGGAACTCACGTGCTATCAATATGCAATCAAAAGGTAATATAAGCAATTGAAAAAAAAAAAAAAAAAAAAAAAAAAAAAAAAAAATGAGAGAAAAAAAAATTGACTAAATTATTTATTAAAATTAACACTAGTGGCACATCTCACCTCATTCCAATTTGGGTTGGCTCATGCACCTTTCTTTACGGAATCTCATTCAGAAAAAGGGGATTCTTTCACCAAAACCGTAGGCTAACAGTTCGATCATCTATATAAGAAATAAAGAGAAAAGGAGCTGTTCAATACCTAAAATTCTCACAATCATTCGGTTGGATGCAGATTGACTCCTCTATAGGGCAAACACTGTGAGAGGCAGATAACGTTGTTTTAGACTAAGAAAAAGGGGCATTCAATCAACATCTTCTAAGCAGTAAAGCACTAGTCTATGCAGAATTTAAATATTTATCTTAAATATTAATCTACCATATTATAAGGAATTTACACAAGCCTCTCTACTGTTGTCTTACCGATAATTTTATCAGTTGTACAATAATATTTAGTGTAACAGATTTTGTTGCAACCCATGAATAGGTAGCCATTAAAAGATACCACAGCTCTAACCATAGTACTTCTTATACTGTTCAATTCATATGTAATAGATCCAGGTGATGTATAATATATATACTTTGAAGATGTGAATCAACACTGTCCGCTTTGAAAGATAAAAGTGATAACATTGAACCACTAGTCATTCGTTAATTAACAGGCTAAATATTACTTACTCATTTGATTATCATCAGTCCGATGATAATACATAATTCAGAAGTCCGAATGGGAGACAACAGTGTACGTGAACACTCTTATTTCTTATTTTCGGTTTTCTATCCTCAACCCCTTTGTGAATGAGACTGTAATTACACAAATTTCATTGTATGCATATAGTGTGTGTGTATGTATGTATATATATATATACATACTCCATTTGTTTCATATTAGTAGTTTATTTTTTTCTTTTAAAGTATCCCAAATTAAATGTCCATTTTAAAAAGTCAAACAAAATAAATTTCATCTCTATCCAACTTTTTAAAAATTTTATAACTTGGTGTTATATATATTTAATATTTAAAGAATAATTTAATAATTTTTAAAAAAAACAATGTATTAATTGAACATTCCTTTAAAAGTTTTAAAATGAGAGGTGGGCAACTATGCATATATGTCAAACAGATGTCATCACACAACCATGCATGCCCAATAAAGACATATTCAAAAGAGACAATAAATTCACAGCGAAATCTGCTCCACAAGTTCTGCCGACTAGGACCTGGGTGGCAGCTAGGAGAGGAGAAATTATTTCTCTTTTTATTACTGGCCTATTTCATTCTTTCCTTTTTATTTTTATATGATCATTTTGGTCAAGTTCACATAAATAATTTCGTCAATCAACCCAATTAATTTTTAAATTTTATTTTTAATAAGGAATCAAATGAAAACTCTGACCGTAGATTGAATCAACTAATCCGATATGGGCCGTTCGATACGTGGCAACCAACATAGGTTTCAGCCTACAATTTGTTGGCTAGGCCATTTTAATCTTTATTCGCTCTTTCTAGCGTTATTCTAAAACCTAACAGAACATCAGGTCTGAATATTGTTTTTTTCAAATTCACTGTGAATAAATAAATAAACAAAGAAAGGAATATTTTTTTTTTCATACCAGAATTGCTCTTTATATTTCTGAAAAGGATTAAATTACCTTATTAGTCAGATTACATAGAAGTGATAAACAAAATAAGGATAAATAAAAAATCATAAGAGTAATAAGAAGAGGTTTAATTTGTATCAATTGAATTGAGATACTAATCATTAATGAGTTGAGAAAATACAGTGGACAAGATCCTCTCCAGCTTAACAACCTCAAGAAGAAATTATAGTTATTGGTTGCAAAAATAAAGGTCCTTCAACATATGTGCATATCAACTGTTAATCCTCTCTCTCTCATCAATTTCATTAAGCTTCCATAGGTGGGGGCAGGTTAAGATCAAGATGGAGAACTCTTTTTGTACGACTATTAGCAAATTGGTTACAATCAACTTCAGAGGACGAGTCCGACTCACTCTGTACCCCGCCATTGAAATCAGTAACCGCCGTTTCAAACCGGAACGCCTGTTTCTGCTCCGCCGCCCCTAGCCGTACAAGCCCTTCGTAGAACCTCACAGGTTGCGCGTGGGGTACAACTGCTAGACTCGGCAGGTGGTGATAGATCGGATAAAAAGAAACACACCCATTGCCACAGCCACCGCCACCTTCACCAAGGCGGCGCGTGAGGTCCAGTTCAGGCGGCGCGTGAGAAATCCCATCTCCGCTCGAAGACTCCACCGTGCTGCTCTGGCTCGGACTCTTGTCTGCTGCGACTACCTCCGAAGCCAGAGGGAAGTTGGTCTTGGCTTTGGTGCCTCGGAATTCCCTGGCGGCGGCGTCGTAGGCTCTCGCCGCCTCTTCGGCCGTGTCGAAGGTCCCCAACCAGACCCGGCTCTTCCTTCCGGGATCTCTGATCTCGGCGGCGTATCGCCCCCATGGCCTCTTTCTCACTCCTCTGTAATGCACCTCCTTAACTCCACTACTCTTTGCTTTAACCTTTTCCTTCATAGCCATTCTTGATGATCTCAATAATCAATATAGGAGAATATGTTTGTGTTATGACCACCGACTGGGTTGGAGTGAGTGGGCAAATAGAGGTGAAGGGAATTTATAGAAGAGAGGTGAGACTTGAATACACAAAAAGGGTAGGGTGATACTTTTAGAGAGAGAGAAGGAAGGAGAGAGAGAAGGGACGCAGTCAACAAGGGATTTGACTGGTGCAAGAGCGCCGCCTCCGCGAATGACGTCTTACTACTGTTTAGGTGTGGGTTACGTGGCACGCGGTAGTTTCCGCCCAGACGTTGATTTGCCGGCTTTTGCCTTTAATGGCTGTTACTGGGACCAATCCTCTCCATCGTTATCCCATTCTCATTCAAAGAGCGTACAAAGCAATCGTGGAAACAAAATGGAGAATTATATAAATGTTCGACTTACTCGTGTACTTCATTTTTTTTTTTTTTTTTAAATAAAAAATAAAAATAAATGACAAAGTAGTTCCCTATCAATCACAATTAATTGTATTACATCCCTTCTAGCCAATGGTAAAAAATCATAATTATCCTAGTAAAAGTCGTTCCTAATTTATTTATTTAATTTTTTTTTTTAATGTACCTTACTCTAAAGGAGCATTGTTTACTTTTTATTGTAATTGTCTATTGTCAAAGTTTTTTTATGTTATATTTTATTAAAAAATATTAGAAATAATAATAAATTCTAATTTAGAGACAATTTTATACATTTTTAGGTTACGAAAATTTTGAAGGAGATAATTTTTATACTACGGGAGAAAATGAACGAGCAAAGCCAATTTGTTTCTTGAATTCATGTCATAAGAAACATGGTGTCAAATGTATTTTTTCTCCAAGTGTTAACATCAGATATCTTTTTTCGTTACTATTATAGACAGTAGATATATATATTTTTTTAACAAATTAAAGTAAACACACACCTACGCAATTACTCACAAAATGCTGTTCATTGGGCTTGAACCTAAAGCTTCCCTTTGGGGAGGAGATATGGTAGTGTTAGATTTTTCATTTTTCTTGTAAGACACTTTAGATTCATCTAATCTTTTTAGTTCTTTTATTAAGTAGTTTCCACAATCTCTAATTTTTATATATAAGTTGGTCAGACTTATATACAAAAATTAGTATATATCAACCTACTTGGATGGAATCAAAAAATTTATTCAGGTGGGGCACATTTTGTAATATTGTACACCATAATATATATATATATATATATATAGTATAATGTCGATGCATATAACTTAATGTTTATGAGTGTGTGTGTATATATATATATATATATAGTGATATTTTTGGGAATTATATATATAGAATATAAGGATTAAGGAAACTATTTAACAGAAAAAGAAAAAAAAAAACAAATATAGTAAGGGAAAGAGAAAATACGCCGTGGGGGACGTGCCCCCTAGTCTTTAACTCCTTCCGTCTCTAATAAATAAGCACATAATACAATATATAATAAAGAGAAAAAAAAAATAATAGCCAAATGAATAATTATCAATAAATAAATCTTTAAATTCATAAATCTCATTTATTATAACACGGGAATTCAAAACCACAAAATATTTTTAATAATTCATAGAAGTCTATAAAGAGTAATAATAAAACCCAATGAATGACCACGACAACAAGTTATGGAGAGTTGAGTCTTCAACCCTGCGGCTCAAACTGTTTGAGACCTAAAATGTCAACGTGGGTTAATCCCTGCAGGAACAAATCCTTTCTACTTCCAACATAGAAGTGAGAAACCTTTATCCTCAAACGAAACCAACACAATAACAAATGTAACCTCTGACTCATTACGCAAAAATATGCGCTCAGCAAATATATGCATAAGAAAATAGGCAAATCAACCATTCCTAGAACAAAACCATGTATCTAGAAACTCAACCATATCTTAACAAATCAACTATGCCAATAGGTACTTGTGAAATTGTGTTAATAGTCAGCCCACAGTGGTTCCATAACCCATTCAATCATATGCTCACGAGCACAATAAATTTATTTTCATATCATGCCACCAGATCAAATAATGAATAATGTGATAAATATCAATTATAGCATAAAGAACATGACGTTAATTAAACTATTCTCATTAACAATTACAGTGTAGCATTAAGATTCTAGCGAACAGGGGTGGAGCCAAGATTCTATAGTTGGGGTCGAACTTACAATTAATATAAGACTATTTTAAGTCATATATATCTTGGCTCCACCCCTGTTCGCTAGAATCTTAATGCAACACTGTAATTGTTAATGAGAATAGTTTAATTAACGTCATATATATATATATGGCTTAAAATAGTCGTAATCTTTATATAATTGTTAAGACTATTTTAAGCCATATATATCTTGGCTCCACCCCTATTCGCTAGAATCTTAATGCTACACTGTAATTGTTAATGAGAATAGTTTAATTAACGTCATATATATATATATATATATGGCTTAAAATAGTCCCATAATTGTTAATGAGAATAGTTTAATTACAGTCATGTTTATATATATATATATATTATCGATTATAGTCATACAAAAATTTATCAAACCAAGCTAATTTGTGAAAAAAAAAAAGAAAAAAAAATGGCCTATATCTAGTAAATAATGATATAAATATGTACAAAAATTAGTCAAAAAGACCAAATAATTACTACAAAAGACCAAATAATTATTTTTGAGACAATAAAATTCATATATTATTGAGAGATTGGCAGAGAGAAAAATAAAATTAGAGAGATAATAGTGGCAGCAACATGATTTTTAGAGAGAAAAAACAAAATTAGAAAGATAATATTGGCAGAAAAAAAAATTATAGAGATATATATATGGCGGCCACAGAAGAGATTTTAGAGAAAGAAAAAAATTGAGATAGAGAGTCGGCCACAAAGAGATATTATAGAGAGAAAAAAAAAATGAGAGAGGGAGAGAGAGATAAAAAAAAAATGAGAGAGATAATACGGGGAGAGAGACAGCCACAAAGAGATAGGGAGTATTATAGAGAGAAAAAAAATTTAGAGAGAGAATTAGTGATATATATATATGGGCGGCCATATTTTAGATAGAGAAAAATTGAGATAGAGAGATGGCCACAAAGAGATATTATAGAGAAAAAAAAATATATAGAACAAAGAGATATTATAGAGAAAAAAAAATTTAGAGAGATAATATACATGGGCAACAATAAAAAGAAATTTTAGAGAGAGAAAAATTGAGATAGATAGACGGCCACAAAAAGATATTATAGAGAGAAAAAATCTAGAACAAAAAGATATTATAGAGAGAAAAAAAAAATTTAGAGAGATAATACTGGCAATCACAAAAAGATATTTAAAAGAAAAGAAAATTGATATAGTGTTTTACTTGGACGAGTCTTGAAGCACACCCAAACAAACCCATTTTATGTTTAAATCTATACAAAATTGGTAGAGACATTCTTGTCACATAAAAAAGACACTTTTGGGTTTTTAGAAATAGTTAGCACTTTTTCAACCGATCTGTTCTATAGGGGGCAAATTGCTCAAAGGATGAATAATACAAAGAGTTTTATATATATATATATATATATATATATATATATATATATATATATATATTTCTTCTCATAGGGGTATTTCATGCACATTTATATATATATATATATATATATATATATATATATATATATATATATATATATATTTCTTCTCATAGGGGTATTTCATGCACATTTTTATACAGCAAGAGGTTTTTTTGCACTTAACCCTCAAATTTATAACCCACCATGTTTGATTTAATAATTAAAGATGATGTATCAAATTGTTATTGGTCCACATCAACAATAAGAATAAAGTATATCTCTAATAGTTGTGTATATATATATATTTTTTGTAAATCTGATGTGTCATAATAGATTTATATAAAAATTTAATTTTTACAAACCTACTTAATATAGGGTTGTTTCGTTAATGAATGAGTAAGAGGGAGGAGAAAGGAAATATGTTGATGTAAAAGGAAATATGTTGATGTGATTGTGTAAAAACGTTATCTAAAATACACAATAATTTTACACATTAATGATGTGGGTAGTGTAGTTTAAGAGACTGCTGAAGATAAAAAAAATTACATATCAAAAGTGGCCATGTATATTTTACGCAACATAGTATTTTAACAACCTGCGGTAAAAAATAAGAACATCATTCCTTATTTTCTATACTTGAAATTACAAGGTTCATTTATAAAAGATAAATAAATTACTAGTCTCAATCTGATTATTAATTTTGGATTTGTGATATTAGGGCTCCAAAAAAATAGAAATATTCATTCTTTTATTAAATTAAAATGATAAAATAGCCCCAATCAAACTTTCTTATATTAAGCCCCTCTTGCCCCTTTTTTTACTAAAAATTGTTCTTTCTTGTTTTTCAACATAATTATACCAAATACCTAAACTAAAGACATTGTCCACAATGCAACTAATTTTGCATACAAATTCCTAACGAACTTCTTAAATAGAGTTAGAAGAGAAAACAAAATAAAAAAAATTGCAGTTGTGAACAAGAGAGAGGGAGAGATGGGATAAGAGGGTAGAAACCTATTAAAACACAGAAGAATGTTTTTTTTGATATTTTATTTCAGAGTACTGTTATTCACACCAAATACTTAAAGTAAATTATTTAATCGAATAATTTTTAATTAATTATTTATATCAAATACAAATAAATAAAAGACTCAATTTCTTTATTTATTGTATAATTGACTAATTAAAAAAATAAATCTAATTATTTACAGTAACTATTTAGCTTAACAATTAATTTCTTTTATTTTATTGATTGTAATAGTAGAGAAACCGGAAGAAATATTATAAAACATTTCCATTGTTATAATTAAAGGTCAAAAAATCACTTCAATCTCAAGATTTGTTGTGCACGCTCCAAGGAGTAAGGTTGGGATGACCAATTCTAAAAACTCACCGACTATTGAGTGCCCTATCTTCTCAATGTATATCCAGTTGAACCGCCCTTTCTCTTAGACCGACAGGTAGTGAGTAGTCTGACAACTAACTACCTTACACGTTTCTTTTTTTTTAGAGAGACGATACGCGTCTTCTTTGACAGACGTGTCGTAACTTAATCGTTCTGTCTCTAATTATAAGTTTGAATTTTTTTTTTTTTCTCTCCCTCTTCCACTTTTAAGTACTTGTCTTATGCGTGTGTCCCAATT